TGTTCCTTCCTTTAATTTAAGACACAAACCTAAACATTAATCATACATGTATTTGGAGACCACAGTAAGGTTTACATAAGACAGCATTAGTAATTGTCACTAAGTTAAATATTGCTATAGCACAGTGCTCAGCGAAGCAAGATATATTTGCACATTAATAGTGCAACAGTGCAAATATTGCCTGATATCCCAGTGTTTAATAGATAGTGTCTTTATATTGTGGAGATTATTATTCCAGTGATGATTCAATGGACCAGAAACTTAGAGTTGGCTGTGTTATTCAGTCCAGGATCCCGGACATTCCCACACAGAAATGTGTTCAGTTCGACATGCATGTCTAATCCATAGTCATTAATGTGTCTGATCAGTGCAAAGCTGAAGTCCTTTTTCATACTGGAGATGGCAGTCATGTTCTAATGGCATTTCAAAGGGAAATCAGTTATTGCTGGCTTGACAGTAGCCATGACAACAGCACCAGGCAGGATGCAGTGATGAGACTGATCTTGTGGCTTACTCCACTTGAAACTGTAAATGAATACAAAAGAAATCAAAACTTTAATAAATGATAGTTCAGCCCTTTAAGTTTTTTAATCAAGTAGAACTCAATATTTCTTACATATGCCATCCACGCTGATGGAGCTGCCTTCGATGTCGAAGCCAGTGACGGTTGGAGCTGCTCTGATCAAAACACTCGCAATCTGAGTGTTATTAGGAACAGATGTGCTTTCAAAGGTAAGGTTCATGTTGTTTATGATTGATCCATTACTGCGGGAGTAAAAAAAGTACTATTTGAAAAGTCAGATTCAGGTCACAATTCTTAAACTGTGTGTTAAGTGTTAACAAATTACCTGAATGCCACCACGTCCAAGGAATTGAAGGAAGAGGGGAATTCCCTTTGGAACAAAGGTTCAAGCTGCAGAAACAGAAAACAGTGTATTGTCTTTTGCCAGCTGTAGGTTTATTTGTCTTAATATATTCCAAGAGATGTCTCTGTCATCATTTATGTCACTTTGAATCAGTTACCTTTTGACATACAATATGTAGATTCTCTAGTCAGCACCCTGATGTATGTTTTATGTTTCTCTACTTTTTGTAGTGTACACATATGAAAATGGCCATGAGACCAAAAGACATGAGGCACAATTGATAGGCATCAGTACAGGGTTTAAAAGAATAGATTAACTATTCATTGTGTACAGTGACGTTAAGATTCTTAATGTGCATTGCTGGGCAGTGTTAGCTGGTATTTATTTGTTCAGGATCTCTTTCCTGATGGAGAAATTTTCAACGTGATTAATTTGCAAGTACCATCCATCACAGCAAACACCTTGTTAGCTGTGTTTTTGTATATAATTTAAATATGCTGGTTTAGCAAGACTTAATGATTTTTCTTGGCAAGATGATAAACCTCCCCACCATCCTATATAAATAAATTTTCAAGATTTGGAATCATTGATAAGAATTGAAGGATTATTTTAATATAACTTAATCATATTTATTCTGAGACTAGTGTTTAATATACTATTCTGATTCTGTGAGTGGCTCAGTCTCTGATAAGATAATACAATTGATGATGCAATAAGGTGTACCCACAGGTTTTATTCAAAGGGTGAGACTTACCTGTCCCTTTATCATGGAAGCTCGGTTTGTAAAAGCAGCAGATGATGTATCCAGCAAGTCACTCGTAAACGTGTTTAGAAGAGACCTGAAAGTCACCCGCCTTGTTGTGAGTGCTGCAGTTGTAGATGCAGCAGTGGTCGGATTGGAGGTTGGAGGTTCAGCAGTTGTAGGTGCAGCAGTCGTAGGATTCGCAGTTGTAGGTGCAACAGTTGAAGGATTGGTAGTTGTAAGTACAGCAGTTGTAGTTTCATTTGCAACTGGACTTTCTGTAAAACATTAGTGATTAATTTTAGCATTTTATTTAGTTCTAAAGTTATTAAGTAAGGATTTTTATAATCAATAACAAATTTGCATGACAGGCATTCTAGCCGCATACAAGGTAGCATAGGTAATATCTAATCCTGGGACACATTGAAGTGTTGAATGAATGGATTACACTGTACAACACTGAAAAATGTTAAAGTTGTCTTAATGAATATTTTCTACACTCCAACATAACAACATAATTTTGTTAGTGACTCATTTAAAAACAGAGCATGAGCAGCACATGCAAAGATGTTTTAAATACTAATGAGAGTGACAGATTGAGTGTCATGTTAACTTACCTAATATTTCAATTGTGTTTGGATTAATGGTCACGTTGAACATATTGGTGGAAAAATTAACAGCTTCTACTAAGGTTTGAGCAACAACAGTATTCTGTGGCAGATCTGCAGTGGGAGTAGTCCGATTGAACACGACCCCCATTTCTGCTTCGGTTCCGTTCACTCGTGTTAGCTCTGGGGAAGCAGGCCTATACCATGAAACCAAATGAAAGAAGTGTCAAATAACAACTTGAGATTATTATGATACTTTACCTAAATTTGTGATTTACACATGATACAATCAACAGTGCAAGTGTCCAATTCTGCATGTGAAGCAAAATTAGTGAACCACTGTTTACCTGAATTGTTTCACAAAGCACCGATCAAACTGAGCACCAAATCTTCGTCTGTATATGCTATTACACTGCGAAAAGAAAGCAAAATTTAGACCATGGGTAGCTCTTAAGCACATTTTCATAATATGAATATAAATAGAAGTGAAAATTTTGCTGAAATAAGTTTACACCTCAACAAATTTATCTTTGATGTAAAATATTGTCAAATCATTCATATGTAATGCTCACACAAGATATGAAAAATAGATTCAATAAGAAACTTTACTTACCGCCCCTACAGCGCGTCGTTCAAGATCTTTGAATTGGCTGCTGTTTCTGTTAGTGAGATTATTTGAAAATGGCTCTTGTGGCAAATCTACTGATATAATGTAAGTAGGTTCAGTAGCCAGGGTAGTGGTTGTACTTGCTGAAGTTGTTGTCCCAGCACTTCTTGTTATAGCAGGTGTTGTAATGGTGGGATCAGAGATTGTAGTTGGAGCAGTTGTACTCTCTGAAGTTGCTGTTGAAGCAGGTGTTGGAGCTGCAGTTGTTATAGTTGCTGTAGTGGTTATAACAGAAGCAGTTGTTGTGACAGTTGTAGTTGTTGGACCAGTTGTTGTTGGGGCAGTTGTTGGAGCAATTGCTGTTGTTGGGGCAGTTGTTGTTACGACAGTTGTTTTGGCAGTTGAAGTTGTTGGAGCAGTTGCTGTTGTTGGGGCAGTTGTAGTCGTTGGAGGAGTTGTTGGGGCAGTTGTTATAGCAGTTGTAGTTGTTGGAGAAGTTGCTGTTGTTGAAGCAGTAATTTTTGGGGCAGTAGTAGTCGTAGTTGTGGGAGCAGTTGCTGTTGTTGGGGCAGGTGTAGTAGCAGTTGCAGTTGTTGGAGGAGTTGTTGTTGGGACAGTTGTTGTAGCAGTTGCAGTCTTTGTTGGGGCAGTTGTTAGGGCAGTGGTTGTTGTTTGAGCAGTTGTTGTTGGGGCAGTTGTTGAAGCAGCTGTACTTATTACAGCAGTTGTTGTTGGGGCAGTTGTTGTTGTTGGGGCAGTTGTTGGAGCAGTTGTTGTTGGGGCAGTTGTTGTTGTAGCATATTTTGTTGTGGCAGTTTTTGGGGCAGTTGTTGGAGCAGTTGTTGTTGGGGCAGTTGTTGTTGTAGCATATTTTGTTGTGGCAGTTGTTGTAGTAGTTGTTGTTGTTGTTGTTGTTGGGGCAGTTTTAGTAGAAACTGTAGTTGTCGGAGCAGTTGTTGTTGTAGTATTTGTTGTTGCGGCAGTCGTTGTTGTTGGGGCACTTGTTGTAGCAGTTGTTGTTGTTTTGGCAGTTGTAGTTGTTGGACCAGCTGTTGTTTGGGCAGTTGTTGTTGTGGCAGAAGTTGTAGCAGTTGTAGTTGTTGGAGCAGTTGTTGATGGGGAAGTTGTTGTTGAGAAAGTTGTTGTAGCAGTTGTTGGGGCAGTTGCTGTAGCAGTTGTTGTTGGGGCAGTTGTTGTAGCAGTTGTTCTTGGGGCAGTTGTTGTAGCAGTTGTTCTTGGGGCAGTTGTTGTAGCAGTTGTTGTAGGAGTTGATGTTGGGGCAATCGTTGTCGCAGTTGATGTTGGGGCAATTGTTGTAGCAATTGTTGTTGTTGTTGGGGCAGGTGTAGTAGCAGTTGTAGTTGTTGGAGGAGTTGTTGTTGAGGCAGTTTTTGTAGCAGTTGTTGTTGGGGCACTTGTTGTAGCAGTTGTTGTAGCAGTTGTTGTTGGGGCAGTCGTTGTTAGGATAGTTTTTGTTGGGGTAGTTGCTGTAGCAGTTGTAGTTTTTGTAGCAGTTTTTGTTGTTGGGTGAGTCGTTGTAGCATTTGTTGTTGGGACAGTTGTTGTTGGGGCAGTTGTTGTAGCAGTTGTACTTGTTGGAGCAGTTGTTGTCGCAGTTGTTGTTGTTGGGGAAATTGTTGTAGCAGTTGTTGTGACAGTCGTTGTTGGTACAGTTTCCGTTGTCGCAGTTGATGTTGGGGCAGTTGTTGGGGCAGTTGTAGCAGTTGTTGTTGTTGGGGCAGTTGTTGTAGCGGTGGTACTTGTTGGAGCACTTGTTGTCGCAGTTGTTGTTGTTGGGGCAATTGTTGTAGCAGTTGTTGTGGCAGTCGTTGTTGGGACAGTTTTTGTTGGGGCAGTTGTAGCAGTTTTTGGGGCAGTTGTTGTAGCAGTTGTTGTTGTTGGGGCAGTTGTTGTAGCAGTTGTTGTTGTGGCAGTCGTTGTTGTTGGGACAGTTGTTGTTGGGGCGGTTGTTGAGGCAGTTGTAGTTGTTGGAGCAGTTGTTGTTGTAGCAGTTGTTGTTGGGGCAGTTGTTGTAGCGTTTGTTGTAGGAGTTGTTGTTGGGGCAGTCGTTGTAGCAGTTGTAGTTTCTGCAGTTGTTTGAGCAGTTGTAGTTGTTGGAGCAGTTGTTGTAGCAGTTGTTGTTGTTGGGGCAGTTTTTGTTGGAGCAGTTGTTGTACCAATTGTTGTAGTTGGGGCAGTCGTTGTAGCAGTTGTTGTCGTTGTAGCGCTTGTTCTTGTAGCAGTTGTTGTTGTAGCAGTTGTTAGTGCAATTGTTTTAGGAGTTGTTGTTGGGGCAGTCGTTGTAGCAGTTGTTGTTGGGGCAGTTGTTGTTGGGGCAGTTGTTTTAGCAGTTGTTGTTGTGGTAGTTGTTGTAGCAGTTGTTGTTGGAGCAGTTGTTGTAGCAGTTGTTGTTGGGGCAGTTGTTATATCAGTTGTAGTTGTTGTACCAGTTGTTGTTGAGGCAGTTGTTGGGGCAGTTGTTGTATCAGTTGTAGTTGTTGGAACAGTTGTTGTAGCAGTTGTTATAGCAGTTGTTGTTGGGGCAGTTGTTGTAGCAGTTTTAGTTGTTGGGGCAGTTGTTGTAGCAGTTGTAGTTGTTGGAGCAGTTGTTGTTGAGGCAGTTGTTGTAGCTGTTGTTGTTGTTGGGACAGTTGTAACAGTTGTAGTTGTTGGAACAGTTGTTGTAGCAGTTGTTTTTGTTGGGGCAGTTGTTGTAGCAATTGTTGTTTGGGCAGTTGTTGTAGCAGTTGTTGTTGGGGCACTTGTTGTAGCAGTTGTTGTTGGGGCACTTGTTGTAGCAGTTGTAGTTGTTGGAGCAGTTGTTGTACCAGTTGTTTTTGTTGGGGCAGTTGTTGTAGCAGTTGTTGTTGGGGCAGTTGTAGTTGTTGGAGCAGTTGTTGTTGTTGGGGCAGTTGTTGTAGGAGTTGTTGTTGAGGCGGTTGTTGTAGCAGTTGTTGTTGGGGCATTTGTTGTAGCAGTTGTTGTTGTTGGGACAGTTGTAAAAGTTGTAGTTGTTGGAGCAGTTGTTGTAGCAGTTGTTTTTGTTGGGGCAGTTGTTGTAGCAATTGTTGTTTGGGCAGTTGTTGTAGCAGTTGTTGTTGGGGCAGTTGTTGTAGCAGTTGTAGTTGTTGGAGCAGTTGTTGTAGAATTTCTTTTTCTTGGGGCAGTTGTTATATCAGTTGTAGTTGTTGGAGCAGTTGTTGTTGAGGCAGTTGTTGTAGCTGTTTTTGTTGTTGGGACAGTTGTATCAGTTGTAGTTGTTGGAGCAGTTGTTGTAGCAGTTGTTTTTGTTGGGGCAGTTGTTGTAGCAGTTGTTGTTGGGGCAGTTGTTGTAGCAGTCGTAGTTGTTGGAGCAGTTGTTGTTGGGGCAGTCGTTGTAAGGATAGTTGTATTTGGGGTAGTTGTTGTAGCAGTTTTTGTTGTTGAGGCAGTTGTTGTATCAGTTGTAGTTGTTGGAGCAGTTGTTGTAGCAGTTGTTGTTAGGGCAGTTGTAGCAATTGTAGTTGTTAGAGCAGTTGTTGTTGTTGTAGCAGTTGTTGTTGTTTGTGCAGTTGTTGTACCAGTTGTTGTTGTTGAGGCAGTTGTTGTAGCAGTTGTTGTTGGGGCACTTGTTGTAGCAGTTGTTGTTGGGGCAGTTGTTGTAGCAGTTGTAGTTGTTGGGTCCGTTGTTGTTGTTGTTGTTGGGGCAGTTGTTGTAGCAGTTGTAGTTGTTTGAGAAGTTGTTGTTGTTGTGGCAGTTGTTGTGGCAGTTGTTGTTGTTGGGGCAGGTGTTGTTGTAGCAGTTGTTGTTGGGGCAGTTGTAGCAGTTGTAGTTGTTGGAGCAGTTGTTGTTGGGGCAGGTGTTGTATCAGTGGTAGTTGTTTGAGCAGTTGTTGTTGTTGGAGCAGTTGTTGGTGGGGCAGTTGTTATAGCAGTTGTAGTTATTTGAGATGTAGTTGTTGTTGGGGCAGTTGTTGTAATAGTTGTTGTTGGAGCAGTTGTTGTTGGGGCAGGTGTTGTATCAGTTGTAGTTGTTGGAGCAGTAGTTGTTGGAGCAGTTGTTGTAGCAGTTGTAGTTGTTGTAACAGTTGTTGTTGTTGGGGCAGGTGTTGTAGCAGTTGTAGTTGTTGGGGCAGTTGTAGCAGTTGTTGTAGTTGTTTGAGAAGTTGTAGTTGTTGGGGCAGGTGTTGTAGCAGTTGTTGTTGTTGGAGAAGTTGTTGTAGCAGTTGTTGTAGCAGTTGTAGTTGTTTGAGAAGTTGTTGTAGGGGCAGGTGTTGTAGCAGTTGTAGTTGTTGTTGGGGCAGTTGATGTAGCAGTTGTAGTTGTTGGAGCAGTTGTTGTCGGGGCAGTTGTTGTTGGAGCAGGTGTTGTTTGGGCGGTTGTTGTAGCAGGTGTAGTTGTTGGAGAAGTAGTTGTTGTTGGGGCAGTTGTTGTTGGGGCAGTTGTTGTAGGAGTAGTAGTTGTTGTAGCAGTTGTTGTTGGGGCACTTTTAGCAGTTGTTATAGCAGTTGTTGTTGGGGCAGTCGTTGAAAGGTTAGTTGTTGTTGGTGTAGTTGTTGTAGCAGTTGAAGTTGTTGTAGCAGTTGTTGTTGAGGCAGTTGTTGTAGCAGTTGTTGTTGGGGCACTTTTAGCAGTTGTTATAGCAGTTGTTGTTGGGGCAGTCGTTGAAAGGTTAGTTGTTGGTGGTGTAGTTGGTGTAGCAGTTGAAGTTGTTGTAGCAGTTGTTGTTGAGGCAGTTGTTGTAGCAGTTGTTGTTGGGGCACTTTTAGCAGTTGTTATAGCAGTTGTTGTTGGGGCAGTCGTTGAAAGGTTAGTTGTTGGTGGTGTAGTTGGTGTAGCAGTTGAAGTTGTTGTAGCAGTTGTTGTTGAGGCAGTTGTTGTAGCAGTTGTTGTTGGGGCACTTTTAGCAGTTGTTATAGCAGTTGTTGTTGGGGCAGTCGTTGAAAGGTTAGTTGTTGGTGGTGTAGTTGGTGTAGCAGTTGAAGTTGTTGTAGCAGTTGTTGTTGAGGCAGTTGTTGTAGCAGTTGTTGTTGGGGCACTTTTAGCAGTTGTTATAGCAGTTGTTGTTGGGGCAGTCGTTGAAAGGTTAGTTGTTGGTGGTGTAGTTGGTGTAGCAGTTGAAGTTGTTGTAGCAGTTGTTGTTGAGGCAGTTGTTGTAGCAGTTGTTGTTGGGGCACTTTTAGCAGTTGTTATAGCAGTTGTTGTTGGGGCAGTCGTTGAAAGGTTAGTTGTTGGTGGTGTAGTTGGTGTAGCAGTTGAAGTTGTTGTAGCAGTTGTTGTTGAGGCAGTTGTTGTAGCAGTTGTTGTTGGGGCACTTTTAGCAGTTGTTATAGCAGTTGTTGTTGGGGCAGTCGTTGAAAGGTTAGTTGTTGGTGGTGTAGTTGGTGTAGCAGTTGAAGTTGTTGTAGCAGTTGTTGTTGAGGCAGTTGTTGTAGCAGTTGTTGTTGGGGCACTTTTAGCAGTTGTTATAGCAGTTGTTGTTGGGGCAGTCGTTGAAAGGTTAGTTGTTGGTGGTGTAGTTGGTGTAGCAGTTGAAGTTGTTGTAGCAGTTGTTGTTGAGGCAGTTGTTGTAGCAGTTGTTGTTGGGGCACTTTTAGCAGTTGTTATAGCAGTTGTTGTTGGGGCAGTCGTTGAAAGGTTAGTTGTTGGTGGTGTAGTTGGTGTAGCAGTTGAAGTTGTTGTAGCAGTTGTTGTTGAGGCAGTTGTTGTAGCAGTTGTTGTTGGGGCACTTTTAGCAGTTGTTATAGCAGTTGTTGTTGGGGCAGTCGTTGAAAGGTTAGTTGTTGGTGGTGTAGTTGGTGTAGCAGTTGAAGTTGTTGTAGCAGTTGTTGTTGAGGCAGTTGTTGTAGCAGTTGTTGTTGGGGCACTTTTAGCAGTTGTTATAGCAGTTGTTGTTGGGGCAGTCGTTGAAAGGTTAGTTGTTGGTGGTGTAGTTGGTGTAGCAGTTGAAGTTGTTGTAGCAGTTGTTGTTGAGGCAGTTGTTGTAGCAGTTGTTGTTGGGGCACTTTTAGCAGTTGTTATAGCAGTTGTTGTTGGGGCAGTCGTTGAAAGGTTAGTTGTTGGTGGTGTAGTTGGTGTAGCAGTTGAAGTTGTTGTAGCAGTTGTTGTTGAGGCAGTTGTTGTAGCAGTTGTTGTTGGGGCACTTTTAGCAGTTGTTATAGCAGTTGTTGTTGGGGCAGTCGTTGAAAGGTTAGTTGTTGGTGGTGTAGTTGGTGTAGCAGTTGAAGTTGTTGTAGCAGTTGTTGTTGAGGCAGTTGTTGTAGCAGTTGTTGGGGCACTTGTAGCAGATGTTGTAGCACGTGTTGCTGGGGCAGTTGTTATATCAGTTGTAGTTGTTGGAGCAGTTGTTGTTGTTGGGGCAGCTGTTGTAGCAGTTGTAGTTGTTGGAGCAGTTGTTGTAGCAGTTGTTGTTGGGGCAGTTGTTGTATCAGTTGTAGTTGTTGTAGCAGTTGTTGTTGGGGGAGTTGTTTTAGCAATTGTAGTTGTTGGGGCAGTTGTTTTAGGAGTTGTTGTTGAGGCAGTTGTTGTAGCAGTTGTTGTATCAGTTGTAGTTGTTGGACCAGTTGTTGTTGTTGTAGCAGTTGTTGTTGAGGCAGTTGTTGTAGCAGTTGTTGTTGTTGGGGCAGTTGTTGTATCAGTTGTAGTTGTTGGAGCAGTTGTTGTAGCAGTTGTTGTTGGGGCACTTGTTGTAGCAATTGTAGTTGTTGGAGCAGTTGTTGATGTTGTAGCAGTTGTTTTTGGTGCAGTTGTTGTAGCAGTTGTTGTTGAGGCAGTTGTTGTAGCAGTTGTTGGGGCACTTGTTGTAGCAGTTGTTGTTGTTGGTGCAGTTGTTGTAGCAGTTGTTGTTGAGGCAGTTGTTGTAGCAGTTGTTGTTTGGGCAGTTGTTGTATCAGTTGTAGTTGTTGGAGCAGTTGTTGTAGCAGTTGTAGTTGTTGTAGCAGTTGTTGTTGTAGCAGTTGTTGTTGTTGGGGCAGTTGTTGTAGCAGTTGTTGTTGGGGCAGTTGTTGTAGCAGTTGTTGTTGGGGCAGTTGTTGTAAGGATAGTTGTTGTTGGGGTAGTTGTTGTAGCAGTTGTTGTTGTTGAGGCAGTCGTTGTATCAGTTGTAGTTGTTGGAGCAGTTGTTGTAGTAGTTGTTGTTGTTGGGGTAGTTGTTGTAGCAGTTGTTGTTGTTGAGGCAGTCGTTGTATCAGTTGTAGTTGTTGGAGCAGTTGTTGTGGCAGTTGTTGTAGGGGCACTTGTTGTAGCAATTGTAGTTGTTGGAGCAGTTGTTGTTGTTGCAGTTATTGTTGGGGTAGTTGTTGTAACAGTTGTTGTTGAGGCAGTTGTTGTAGCAGTTGTTGTTGGGGCAGTTGTTGTATCAGTTGTAGTTGTTGTAGCAGTTGTTGTTGGGGGAGTTGTTGTAGCAATTGTAGTTGTTGGAGCAGTTGTTGTTGTAGCAGTTGTTGTTGTTTGGGCAGTTGTTGTAGGAGTTTTTGTTGAGGCAGTTGTTGTAGCAGTTGTTGTATCAGTTGTAGCTGTTGGAGCAGTTGTTGTAGCAGTTGTTGTTGGGGCAGTTGTTGTAGCAGTTGTAGTTGTTGGAGCAGTTGTTGTTGTAGCAGTTATTGTTGTTGGGGCAGTTGTTATATCAGTTGTAGTTGTTGGAGCAGTTGTTGTTGTTGCAGCAGTTGTTGTTGGTGCAGTTGTTGTAGCAGTTGTTGAGGCAGTTGTTGTAGCAGTTGTTGTTGGGGCAGTTGTTGTATCAGTTGTAGTTGTTGGAGCAGTTGTTGTTGGGGCACTTGTTGTAGCAATTGTAGTTGTTGGAGCAGTTGTTGTTGTTGTAGCAGTTGTTGTTGTTGGTGCAGTTGTTGTAGCAGTTGTTGTTGGGGCAGTTGTTGTAGCAGTTGTAGTTGTTGGAGCAGTTGTTGTTGTAGCAGTTGTTGTTGTTGGGGCAGTTGTTGTATCAGTTGTAGTTGTTGGAGCAGTTGTTGTTGCAGTTGTAGTTGTTGTAGCAGTTGTTGTTGTTGGGGCAGTTGTTGTAGCAGTTGTTGTTGGGGCAGTTGTTGTAGCAGTTGTTGTTGGGGCAGTTGTTGTAGCAGTTGTTGTTGGGGCAGTTGTTGTAACAGTTGTTGTTGGGGCAGTTGTTGTAGCAGTTGTTGTTGGGGCAGTTGTTGTAGCAGTTGTTGTTGGGGCAGTTGTTGTAGCAGTTGTTGTTGGGGCAGTTGTTGTAACAGTTGTTGTTGTGGCAGTTGTTGTAGGAGTTGTTGTTGGGGCAGTTGTTGTAGCAGTTGTTGTTGGGGCAGTTGTTGTAACAGTTGTTGTTGAGGCAGTTGTTGTAGCAGTTGTTGTTGGGGCAGTTGTTGTAGCAGTTGTTGTTGTTGGGGCAGTTGTTGTAGCAGTTGTTGTTGGGGCAGTTGTTGTAGCAGTTGTTGTTGTTGGAGCAGTTGTTGTATCAGTTGTAGTTTTTGGAGCAGTTGTTGTAGCAGTTGTTTTTGGGGCAGTTGTTGTAGCAGTTGTTGTTGAGGCAGTTGTTGTAGCAGTTGTTGTTGGGGCAGTTGTTGTAGCAGTTGTTGTTGGGGCAGTTGTTGTAGCAGTTGTTGTTGTTGGAGCAGTTGTTGTATCAGTTGTAGTTTTTGGAGCAGTTGTTGTAGCAGTTGTTTTTGGGGCAGTTGTTGTAGCAGTTGTTGTTGAGGCAGTTGTTGTAGCAGTTGTTGTTGGGGCAGTTGTTGTATCAGTTGTAGTTGTTGTAGCAGTTGTTGTTGGGGGAGTTGTTTTAGCAATTGTAGTTGTTGGGGCAGTTGTTTTAGGAGTTGTTGTTGAGGCAGTTGTTGTAGCAGTTGTTGTATCAGTTGTAGCTGTTGGAGCAGTTGTTTTAGCAGTTGTTGTTGGGGCAGTTGTTGTAGCAGTTGTAGTTGTTGGAGCAGTTGTTGTAGCAGTTGTAGTTGTTGTAGCAGTTGTTGTTGTAGCAGTTGTTGGTGTTGGGGCAGTTGTTGTAGCAGTTGTTGTTGGGGCAGTTGTTGTAAGGATAGTTGTTGTTGGGGTAGTTGTTGTAGCAGCAGTTGTTGTTGTTGAGGCAGTCGTTGTATCAGTTGTAGATGTTGGAGCAGTTGTTGTAGAAGTTGTTGGGGCAGTTGTTGTAGCAGTTGTAGTTGTTGGAGCAGTTGTTGTTGAGGCAGTTGTTGTAGCTGTTGTTGTTGTTGGGGCAGTTGTTTTAGTTGTTGTTGTTGGGGGTGTTG